GAATTCGAGGTCACGTTGAATTCGAGGTCACGTTGAATTCGAGGTCACGTTGAATTCGAGGTCACGTTGAATTCGAGGTCAGGTTGAATTCGAGGTCACATTGAATTCGAGGTCATGTTGAATTCGGGTTCATATTGAATTCGAAGTCATATTTAAAGAGAGATTTGAGAAAGAGCCATCTCTCTATGGAACCGATGAATAGCCAAGGAAACTCGATTCCTACTGCTTATTCTGTCAAATGCCCTCGATGATTTCGCAAACAATCTCAAGAGTTTTGGGGGGAAGAATTCCCCCGCCCATATTTGTCCCATGCATCGATTAAAAAAAAAAATCCGAGAAAAGTGAAAACGAAGGCTTACTCCGCCCTTAGCCGGGATAGTACCCAGATCGGTACTCTTTCTCATCTGCCAGTACTTATCGGGCATTTCTGATCGGTACTGATTCGATGAGACTCGGAAATCGGATCGAGAGGAAGGGAATCGGGTTTATCCGACTCGTGAACGTCGATGCCGCCGTTGGTCCGAGGAGAGCAACTACTGACATCTATGCGACGACCGTCGGACGCTCAGGGTTGCCCATTTCCCCTGAAGATGTCAGGCAACGCCGTTCCTCATTTCTCTCTGCGTCGTTCCGCGATTGCGGGTTTTCTCCCGCTGGGACGAAACCCTCCCGATCTCGCTCGGAGCCATCCGGGAGTAGCCATTCGCATAGCGCCACGTGCGGCCTGCGGGTCGCGGGCTGCATTGGGGGGGTGCATTGAGGGATTGGGGGGGGTTATCGGTTCATGAGATTGGAGGGTCTCGTATCATGTGATGCTTTGATTGTGGTCGATTGGCAATGTGATGGGCCGAAGGGGGGAGCTCTTCTTCGGGAAAAATAATTAGGAAATTTTCACTTGGCATTTTCCTTGGTAGGCTGAGAAGGGCGTCCTCAATATTAGTTCAAGTCTGAAACGGTAGCTTGAGTTGATTTTCTTCGCAAGATCATCTGGGTGTTCGATCGCGGTTGAATCGGTTTTACTTTTCACTTCAGCCTTTTGGTTGCGAGAGGCAGAAATGCGACCGAAAAAACTGACGAGAGCATAGCAATGAAGCCGATTCCGTGCCCACGCGTCACCGATTCCGTGCCCACGCGTCACCGATTCTGTGCCCACGCGTCACCGATTCCGTGCCCACGCGTCACCGATTCCGTGCCCACGTGTCACCGATTCCGTGCCCACGTGTCACTTTTGAGTAACATTGAAGCACGTGAAGAGGGGACTCCGCCCGTCCCGCGTCAAGGTCAAGAGTTCATATAACAAAGTCTTACCGCTCTTGCAGAGAAATATTTTCGTGAGAGCGCATCCACCCGAGCCACTTAGGGAGGGGAATTCCTCCCTTTTTCTCGCTTTGTCCGCGACGACGTGAAAGCCCTCTCGCGTTGGGGCGGGGCGGGGCGGGGATTTGAAACGATTTCCCCCTCGTTCTTAAGATGAGAGGAAGTCCCTCTCCGTTTTCGTCTCTCGAGCGAGAAGAATTCCAGTATTTCTCAATTTCTTGTATCCTTTCGCGGCTTTCATCGCTTTCATTCCAAAAACTGATGAATGGGGTCTAACCACCATGCAACTCCAGAGTAATTCTCGTCCCATTAAGGTGGAGCAGTTCGGGCACAAACAGACATATATATTTCGAGAAATGCCAGTAGGGGAATTTGGAAACGATTAGAAAGGGATTAGACTATGAAGGGCTCATTCGCGATCAAAAAGACAATTCGTAATAGCAATTTAAAAATTCTATTACGAACACATTACGTTTGCTAAAAGGATTCTATGTACCTTGCTGGGCACTGGCGTGAAATGAAATCATAATGGAGTGATTCACAGTGCGAGGCATCAAGGATGAATGCTCTGATACGATCATATGTATGATGTGGTCTTGCGATTCTTCGCTGATACTAGAAGTGACGATTCTGCGGTTATTGTGGGGATTCATCCGTTCACTCATTCTTAATGTTTCACTGTAGTTTCAGTGGACTTGAACTGCAGGAAGATGATGGTGTACATCATGATCTGGCGAATCATCTGCAGAGGTAAAGGAACAATTAGTTTTAACGATTTGAAAGACGCTGAAAATTGCGTTATCATTTCGTTCAGAACAAAATTGCACTCACATCATAGTAAATAGGATATCCCAGACGAACGAAGCCGGATCCAGTGAGTATGGTCCCGTCCGACTGAAGAATCTTCTTCATGTGAAATGTCTCCTGCAGGGAAAAATATATTTAACGAGCTGATAATTAGCTTTATGGGAAATGATTAATCTGCAGAAAATGGGACATGCCGCTTCGATTTCGCTCTCCGGGCAGGCAGGGTCCTCGATTTTCGAGAGCATTCTCCAGTTGATTCCTCGACGAAACTCCTTATCCTTTAAGATAGAAACATTTTCTTGCAATTGCGAGATTTCATTTCCGGAAAATTGTTTTCAATGAAAATTGTCTCACTTCCTTCCTGATCTGATGAGCGGCCCGAAGGAAAACGGCCGTAGAAGACCAGCTGGTGAGAGTGGTGTAGAAGAAAGGGGAAAGAGAGAGTGCGATCTCCAGACCGCTCTGTTTGAAATCCATTTCGATGAGAACCATGAAAAGACTGGCGGTGGTCGAGATGATGGTAGCGACGAGAGCAAAAAGGGCTTGAATTCCTAGTGCGGAACTGAGGAGTCCGACGAACTCCTTCAGCCTCTTGTCCCATAGATTCACGTCGACATCCTTTTGGGTGACTCGAGGGTCAGAGATGGCAGCCGTCAACGAGCGATATGCCTCGGCGACCACAGAGCAGAAGTAGAGGCAGAGAAAAGGCGGAAAGACGATAGAATGAATCTGATACAACCCGGCTATAACGGTAATCGTCACGAAAGTACTACTGTACCCAGCCAGTATGAAAAGGACGTATATCGTAGATGCGGCGAAAACCGAGGCGAACAACGGAAGGAAATAACCCAACCAAATCTTCTTTGAGTTCAAATCCAATCCTGCGTCGACCAGAATCTTGCGGCTTTCCTCGAAGACGACCTGGATGCTCTTGCCTTTGAGAAAGTTGGAAATGACTGTACCGTGAGCGAGAGCGGAGAAACTCCCCATGACGGTGTAGAGAACCATCAAGGCCGTCTTGGATCGCTGTACCATGAGATGTGTCATTGATTCGATTTCTCGGGGATTATTTATGTCACTCCGATTTCCATGTTTCATTAAGGGGCCTTCAATGATTTGCGCCGGGGCATATCCTAGAACATGAAACATATAAGTTCATATGGTACGTGGGGTCATGATAGTTATTGCAATTCCAATGGACAAGATTACTCAGAAAATTTGGGGCGACTGTAACGAAGAGGGAAGTGGGAGTGTTTTGGTCATGGCAACCATTTTTCCTCAAAATACAAATTTGGATATTCAACTCTCAACAGTTAGAGGAATGTATGCATGTAGTTTTCCCTGTAAATTTCTCCATAGATTCTTTGTTCTTGCACGGCTAGACCTGACGTTATATTTTATATAGTTCAAAGACAATAAATTCTAAGAGTAAACAGCAGGGAAGATTATTCTCTATTTTCTTAATTCCTAACTTCGCAGGACACAGCTTGCTCCCACGTTAACGTCAAGTTTTTTGGGCCTCGTTTTTCAAAACTTTGAAAAAGCAGAGGGAGGAAGACTTACCCATTGAAGCAACCCAGTATAAGCCGAGAATGCCACACACGAAGAACCTGAAGAAAATCATGCAGGTAGGGAAAGCGAACCAACGAAACTTGACAAAACTTTGAAAAAGCAGAGGGAGGAAGACTTACCCATTGAAGCAACCCAGTAGAAGCCGAGAATGCCACACACGAAGAACCTGAAGAAAATCATGCAGGTAGGGAAAGCGAACCAACGAAACTTGGGATGGCCATGCAACATGTCGGTTAGGGGGAAGTCCCCGGTGATGGATGAAGTGATGCACATCCATTTCAGGTAGCCCGGCGGTTCCCCTCTTGCTTCTTTCTTTTCTTCAGCCTTCATAGCTCGAAGCCCGTCCTTCGATGGCAGACCCGTGATATGTGCCTCGTAGGTTCCCCGGCGATGTCGACATCCGCTCCATACTTCGAGTTTGGCGCAAACAAATGGGTGATGTCGATCAGGGATCGATGCTTGCTGCCTGACCGTGACCGCATCCATTAAAGAAATTAAAACAGCCTGACCTCGATAACATTGAAAGCAAACTGAAAGAAGAGTCATGGGTGTCCCCATTATGGATTTGCGGCTCTTCCAAAATTTTCATCATAATCAGGTATTCGACTCTCGTGACAATGAATCTAATCCCTTCTAAATTATGTGATGCTATCACGACGGTTTGTAAATTGTGGAATGCCGTCCATGTTCATACCGTCACTGCGGTGTGGAAACCGTAGGATCACCGCGACATAGCGAGATTCATTTCTCTCATCAAAAAGTTAGTTTGTAAACTGTCTTCCCCCATCTCCATTCACGCTCACAGCCTGGGAAAAACTGCTGGAATTGTATTTAATCCGGAAACACGAAGGACATGCGTCATTCGTGGGTTCGACTTGGTCCTTGACTGAGCCTTCGGTCGAAACGTGTAGGTGTATCCGAGCGCTCAATATCTTCATAACGTCTTGTGAGAATGTGAGATGGGATAATATTGTAGCCACTCCCCCACCTCGACCCCACGATCTTCGCGATGGTGTGGTCGAACGCGATGAGGAAATGCTTGGGGAGGTCGCACAGGACGGATTGATTCGCCGCAGTTGAAACGATTGGTGTTGGCGAGGGAATCGCGTTTGCCACCGCGTTTGCGGTGCGAACTACAGAAAACAGTGCTTTGGAAAATGCTAGCCGCGGTGTTTTATATATTTATATGAACAAGTTCAAATATCCACCTATTACACGGCCAGCGTTGCGGTCGCAGGCCGTTAGTTAAAATTCGTATTTTTGTTGTTTGGACCGGGAGGACGGGATAGGCGGAATGGGATGGGAAGAAAGTGCTGGACAATGAAGGGGAGGGGGGACACAAAATATCTTCGTTGCGAAAGATGCATGCTCCAATCACGGGGAAGGCAGATAGGGGGGAGAAGGGAGAGAAGGTTAATGACTCCCTGTAAGTTACTTAACTAGGTAGTTACTTAGTTAAGTTACTTCGGCAGCGATGAGGTCGAGACTCTCGCCACATTTACTTTGTTTGCTCTATTTAGGTTTATTGGGAAAGAAAATAGAACAGATAAGGGAATATAAGGGGATCCGAATTAAAAAGTGGCTAGAGACAGATCCTGCCACGGGATGACGCTGCAAACAGAAGTCAATGTAAAACCGTTTCTTTCCTCAGCTTCCGCTTAAAGGAGGGACAAAATGAAATCACATGAGAGGGATTTTAAGGATTTCTAATTGCTTTGTTGATATTGATTTTTTCTCGCTATAAACTCCATCCCTCCTGGATCTATGCAACGGCAACATATAAAGACTCTAGTCGTCCCTTGCACAAACGCCCACTCCCCCTGTGGATTTGGAACCAGGCAGATGCCCCCCTAGGTGTTATTTCCACCTGTTGGAGTGAAATCCACTGGGGGGGGGGGGAAATCCACCTGGGGGACGTCCACCTGGTTCAAAATTCACCCTCTATCCACCTGGTTGTTCTACCAGGTGGATAAGGGGTAGACGTTTTGTAAAGGGTCCCACATTCCAAATCGATGGAGACTAAAAATTATGTGCTCGGGATAAGAGGAACATAAATTTGCAATCATCGACACTGCAAAATTTCCGAGAAACCGTACGAACTTTCACGCCACTAGTTGCATTCCTTGTTCCATGAAGTCTGAATGATATCAGCAACGTTGCAGTTGAAAGCGGAAGTCGATATCGCCTGGGATATTGAGGATTGTTGGCTCAGTCAGATAATAAATACGGATTAGACATGCAACGGATGTAGGAATGAGAAATCCAATATTCCATGGCTCTCCCTTTCTTTAACCCCATCCCCACCCTTCTTTACGGAACTCAGTAACGTCTGGCCTAATCAAGAGACTGCCTTCAGGTCACGCCAAGGTCTACCGTTTTTCTTCCAAAAGAAACTTGATTCTCGACTTACGGAGTCAATTAGGCAGATAAGGATTAATCCGTGGCCTTCCAGATATCTCGTTGAGGACGCGCAACGTTAGACCGATTTAAGGTGTGCTTCGCGCTTCATGAACCATTTCAGTGCGGACGTGGAACGCTAATGCTTATTTGGGGTTCCTCGAACCGCCTCGAATAGGTCTAAAGGGAATGCGTCCTGGATGCATGAAATCCATGGTCGCAGGCACGCATGCGCGGCATCCTGTTCATTCAGGGATGTCCGCATGAGATATCTCCAGACACCACATCGATCAATCATTGCTAACTACTGCTTCATTCTCGGCTTAACTCGGCACAAAAAATATCAAATGTATTAAAAAGCAAAAGATGGAGGCGATTGGAAGGTTAGAGTCGTCTTGAATTAGAAATTTTCGGCACGATATTCGGCAACACTGGGGGACGGTACGGTATCAAGCACTCTAAGAACCACAGCTAATTTCATTTTTTTAATGGCGAAATGATGCATCGCAAACAACAAAATGCCACTGTTCGTCATCTACGCGTCAATGTCTTTTTGTCCTTTTGTCCTTTTATTTCCTCCGAACCCCCCCCTCCCCCCTTTGGAGTGGCTAACAGGGGAGGGGGATGGGGCGAAAAATTAAAACGGAATTAAATTCACATCTTTTAAAAACGAGATTCAGTGTTCTCCACGAACCTGAGGATATTCAGCTTCGAATATGCTGGAGCTATTCTGTATTGAAAGCGAAAAAGACATGCTTCATTTCGTTCCTGTTGATGCTCTCAGAGAGGAATACGAAGTTGAATATTGGTACTGGAGGGGGTTAAAAATGTAATAAGCGCTACCTCGCCTATTAATATCCATAGTCTTCCTCTATTATATTCCTGTTATATGACATTAAATGCCATACGCGAAAGGATCTCGTGGTCCGTATCGATCACCATCGATCGCGTCGATTTTGTGCCTCCAGACACTAACAGAAAGATGGACAATAATGACGATATCGGTATGTTCAATCCAAGCGTGATGCCTGGCTTGAGAAATAATGTAGCGAGTACGAGCGCATTGCAATGACAGATTGAAGAAAGGTGTAAAAATAGCACATACGTCACTGAGAAGGAAAGATTCCATTTTATTTCATCAGCCAAAGTAGGATCTCCAGGCTGCTTTCTTCGAAATCCAACTCTATGAGGATCATAAAAACACTGGCGGTGGTCTAGTCCTAAGTCCTAATTTTTTGGGTCTGACGAACTCACACGATCGCAAGGAATGCATTTTAACCAGACTATTAGGAACACATTGCGTTTGCTAAAAGGATACTATGTTCCTTGCAGGGCACTGGCGTGAAATGAAATCATAATTGAATGATTCACAGTGCGAGGCATAAAGGATGAATGCTCTGATACGATCATATGTATGATGTGGTCTTGCGATTCTTCGCTGATAATAGAAGTGACGATTCTGCGGTATTTGTGGGGATTCATCCGTTCACTCATTCTTAATGTTGCACCGTAGTTTCAGTGGACTTGAACTGCAGGAAGATGATGGTGTACATCATGATCTGGCGAATCATCTGCAAAGGTAAAGGAACAATTAGTTTTAACGACTTGAAAGACGTTGAAAATTGCGCTACGTTCAGCACAAAATCGCACTCACATCATAGTAGATAGGATATCCCAGACGAACGAAGCCGGATCCAGTGAGTATGGTCCCATCCGATTGAAGAATCTTCTTCATGTGAAATGTTTCCTGCAGGGAAAAATATATTTAACGAGCTGATAATTAGCTTTATGAGAAATGATTAATCTGCAGAAAAGGGGACATGCCGCTTCGATTTCGCTTTCCGGGCAGGCAGGGTCTTCGATTTTCGAGAGCATTCTCCAGTTGATTCCTCGACGAAACTCCTTATCCTTCAAGATAGAAACAGATTCTCTTGCAATTGCGGAATTTCATTTCCGGAAAATTGTTTTCAATGAAAAGTGTCTCACTTCCTTCCTAATCTGATGAGCGGCCCGAAGGAAAACGGCCGTAGAACACCAGCTGGTGAGAGTGGTGTAGAAGAAAGGGGAAAGAGAGAGTGCGATCTCCAGACCGCTCTGTTTGAAATCCATTTCGATGAGGACCATGAAAAGACTGGCGGTGGTGGAGATGATGGTAGCGACGAGAGCAAAAAGGGCTTGAATTCCTAGTGCGGAACTGAGGAGTCCGACGAACTCCTTCAGCCTCTTGTCCCATAGATTCACGTCGACATCCTTTTCGGTGACTCGAGGGTCAGAGATGGCAGCCGTCAACGAGCGATATGCCTCGGCGACCACAGAGCAGAAGTAGAGGCATAGAAAAGGCGGAAAGACGATAGAATGAATCTGATACAACCCGGTTATAACGCTAATCGTCACGAAAGTACTACTGTACCCAGCCAGTATGAAAAGGACGTATATCGTAGATGAGGCGAAAACCGAGGCGAACAGCGGAAGGAAATAACCCAACCAAATCTTCTTTGAGTTCAAATCCAATCCTGCGTCGACCAGAATCTTGCGGCTTTCCTCGAAGACGATCTGGATGCTCTTGCCTTTGAGAAAGTTGGAAATGACTGTACCGTGAGCGAGAGCGGAGAAACTCCCCATGACGGTGTAGAGAACCATCAAGGCCGTCTTGGATCGCTGCACCATGAGATGTGTCATTGATTCGATTTCTAGGGGATTATTTATGTCACTCCGATTTCCATGTTTCATTAACGGGCCTTCAATGATTTGCGCCGGGGCATATCCTAGAACATGAAAAATATAAGTTCATATGGTACGTGGGGTCATGATAGTTATTGCAATTCCAATGGACAAGATTACTCAGAAAATTAGGGGCGACTGTAACGAAGAGGGAAGTGGGATTGGGTTGGTCATGGCAACCATTCTTCCTCAAAATACAAATTTGGATATTAAACTCTCAACAGTTAGAGGAATTTAAGCATGTAGTTTTCCCTGTAAATTTCTCCATAGATTCTTTGTTCGTGCACGGCTAGACCTGACGTTACATTTTATATAGTTCAAAGACAATAAATTCCAAACAGTAAACAGCAGGGAAGATTATTCT